AATTAATATCAGAGCTCAAACTTCTTTTTCCTATTTTGCAATCATCTTGTGCTTTAACTAAATTTTCCACCCTCTCATAGTGTAATGGAGATGAACAAACCATTTCTTGTAGTTTTGTTCATACAATCCATTTATGCTGGCTATTTCTTGCTTTCAAAGGTTGCTTTTGATGTTGGCTTGAACACTTACGTTTTTGTCTTCTACAGACAAGCTGCTGCAACTCTTTTCTTAGCTCCGACTGCTATGTTTTTCCATCGGTACCATCTTATTTGTATGAATTATGTTTTCAACACATACCTTCATGTGTAGGCAAGATAAAATTTTCAGTGAAAGGCCTTGCAAGCATATGCGCAATCTTTATGAAGGGGTAGCATTTTGCTGAATATTTTTACAACTTTGGAACTTATATATATGCATTGGAATTTCTTTGTTTGGGCTTGTAGGAAAACTGCTCCACCATTGTCATTCACCATTTTCATCAAGATTTTCTTGCTCTCCCTTTGCGGGTACGATATATATTCCATAGTCTTGTGTACTGGGCAACATACAGGATTTTACTGAATACTGACATATGAGCTTTTCCAACACTCTAGGCATGAAGTTTCTTCAGTTAATTATGAAGATTTTTATTGGTTTAATTGCAGGATAACTACGAGCTTGGATATTTTTGGTGTTGCTTTGACATATACAACGGCTTCTTTGGCTGCTGCGACAATCAATACACTTCCAGTTATTACTTTCTTCCTTGCAATTTTATTCAGGTAATCAAGATTAGTCCCATCAATTTATTCAACTTTCTTTTGTTTGGTTTCAATTTCTCCTTGCTTTCTTTTTATTAGATGTTCTTTTTATTATAGAACATTTCATAATTTGGTAGTATCTTTTCTTAAATTATAAGATACTTCTGGAATACTGGGAGAATCTTATGATTAAAAGTAAAATACTCTGAAATTTGGTCTGACTATAGGTATAATATGTACTAATAATTAATTAGTAAAATGTAAAAAATTATCCATGAAGTCATTATTGCAGTTGCTTTGTTTGGTATAAAGAAACATTAGTAAATATTTTGATAAAAAATAGAAGAGGATACCAGTATCTTCAACATATCTGGACCTTTTTCCTTAGTAATTAATGAAAGATTAATTTGTTAGGAACTTAATGAGGTGTATGACACGATCTGAAGTCTTGATCACAACAACAAGTACACAAAAAAACAAGAATTAATTTAATAGAGCAATTAGAGATTTTATTCAACTATAATGGAGAGAAATTACAACAATATTGTGTTCCTTTACAATTCTAACTTATAGTAATAAATTAACTTGTTAAAAAAAGTCTACTACTTATAGAGGTACATGTCAAACCCTAATAATAGTTCTAAACATAAAAACTAGGTAAAGAAGCATGGAATAACAAAACAAAGAAAATCTCGAACATCCATGGCGCTCGAGTGCGGGGCCCGCGCAAGGCAAACGTTAGCATTGTGCTGAAAATTCTGCCCTATTGCTCTAGCGGTAGGGGGTGTTAAGCTAGCACTGTTAAATCTTATTTTTCTCCTTGGACCCTATTTTAACATCTTTAAAGCTCAATACACCAAACCTCGCAACCCTAGTTAGAGTTGGGTCTCAAACCCAACAATCTCTACTTTGACACAAATTCCATTGCAACAAATGAAACTCTAAAATTTCTCCATTTGGAGAGAAAACTCGATTGCAAGAATGAACTGAAAGTCTTCAACAAAAATCAAACTAACCTTTCCTACAAACCGAAAAATTCTCCACCTCTTCCACAATATCCAACTAGGATAAATGAATCCAACTACTGCTTCGTAGAATTATCTTGGGTTCCCAAAAAATCACAAAATGATTTAAAATTTACAAAATAGGGTCAAAACACACCCTGAAACAGAATCAACACTAAATGCCTTTATAGAAGGCCTATTGCTAGATTGAACACCATCAAATACACTTAAAGCATGAGCAACAAAATCAAATTCCCCATAACTTACTCTAATGGGTCTATTCCTAGCAATTAAATATGATGACACTGTAGGTAATGGTGGGAAAGTAGCATTATCCATGTCCTCTGAACTCGACTGAATTGTATTCTTCAACATGGACTCCAAACCAAATCCCAACGGTACTATACCAAACTGAATATTTACCACGGTACTAAATCATTGCTTATTGTTCTTCAATGATTCTATACGACCTTGCAAGATGTATAACTATGACCTTTTTGCCATTACAATACAACCCAGACACATTTTGCAAATCTTCAAAACCATACCTCCACCAATGAACTCGTATCCTTTTGAATCAAGAGTAGCTAATGAGATGTGATTTTTCTTCAAATTTGGAACATATCGAATGTCATCAAGTATTCTCAATGTCTCATCCAACAGTTTAAATCTGACTCTACCAATACCAGCTACTAGATAAGGTGCATTGTTTTTCATGACTACGATACCTTTCGAAATTGTTCCATATGTTGCAATCAAATCCCAATTGTGATATATGAAAAAGCACAAATTGAATCCAAATCCAATTCTCGTCGGGTTTAGATTTGCAGTCAGAAATAGCCAAAAAATCCCTATCACTTAAATAGTTCTCTACGACATTGGCTTCGCCTGAAGTAGCGATTGCCTACCCGTTTGATTTGTAGCAAACTTATGATGTGTCATTTCTTCTTACAATAAAAATAAACATGATTACTGAAATTAGATTTCGACCTGCCCCTTTTATGACCACCGTGAACAACAAGGCTTTCTCCATCTCTTGCCTCAGATCCAACCGAATATTTAATCTTCTCATTTGAAAACAAAGTATCATACACATCTTCAGCGGAGAAAGTATCACAACTATACAAAATCGAGTCTCTAAATGAAGTGGGCAGTGAACACATAAGAATTAAGATCAAATCTTCTTTATCATACTTTACCTCCAAAATCTCAAAATTAGTGACAATTTCTTTAAAAATAGTCAAATGATATTCCAAAGATCTGCCTAGTGTCATCCGATGAGAACACAACATCTGTTTCAGATTCAATTTGCAAGTTAGACTCTTAGTCATGCACAGTTGCTTTAACTTCAACCACAACGCAGATGTCGTTTTCTCCTTCAAATCGTTTTGAAGAATATTATTCAAATGATGAATATGAATTTGTGAAAATATCTTCTGATCCTTTTGTTGTTTCTCATCCGTCGTCGAATTCGTGAGCATTTTGTCAAAACCCAACAAGGCATTATCCAAATCCATCTGAAAGAGTATTGTTCGTATCTTCACCTGTCACAACAAGAATCTAGTGCTACGATCCAAAAGCTGATTGCCATACTTCATAGTTGCCGTCAAAAATAAAATTAAAAAACCTCGAACTAAATGAGGTATATGACATGATATAAAATGTCACAACAATAAGAACACAAGAAACAAGAATTTTATTTGGCAGAAGAATTTGAGATTTTATTTAAGTATAACGGAAAGAGAAATCAAACAATATTGTGTTCCTACACAATTCTGATTTGCAGTAATAAATTAACTAGTAAAGAAGAGTCTATTATTTATAGAGGTACATGTCAAACCCTAATAGCCCTAAAAAATGGAAACTAGGTAAAAAATGAGTGGAATAACAAATCAAAGAAAATCCCGAATAGCTGCGGTGCTTGAGCGCTAGGCTTGCTCTAGGCGAGCGCTAGGCATGGTGCTTGAGCCTTACTCGAGCACCAAGTAAGTGATAGCATTCTACTAAAAATTCCACTCTATCGCTCGAGCGATAGGTGGGTGTGAAGCTCCCTGTCAAATTATATTTTCCTCCTCGGCCATATTTTGACATCTTCAAAACCCAATACACAAAATACGGAACCCTAGTTAGAATTTGGATCCCAAATCCAACATTATTTGACTGGTATATGAAGGGGAAAAAATTAAATGAAGAACACTTTCTTATGGTATTTTAGACGAAGGCAGCATGATATTCGTGCCTAAAAATTAAATTTTTAGATGGAAGACAATTTTAAAACTTAAAAAATTTAAATTACGTTTCACTTAGGAACACCTCTAGAGTATACATGCGCACAATTTTCTTAACTTAGTGATGATGAGACTCGAATTTAGTGCATTCCTATTTGTTTTGATAGTATATTCAACTAACTCACCTAAAAGCCAATGTGTGTTATTTATACATTTTCAGTCNCTAAATGCCTTTATAGAAGGCCTATTGCTAGATTGAAGACCTTCAAATACACTTAAAACATGCGCAACAAAATCAACTTCCCATACCTTACTCTAATGGGTCAATTCCTAGCAATTAAATATGATGACACTGTAGGTAATGGTGGGAAAGTAGTATTATCCATATCCTCTGAACTTGACTGAGTTGTATTCTTCAACATGGACTCCAAACAAAATCCCAACGATACTGTACCAAACTGAATATTTACCACGGTACTAAACCATTGCTTATTCTTCTTCAATGATTCTATATGACCTTGCAAGATGTATAAATATGACCTTTTTGCCATTACAATACAACCTAGGCACATTTTGCAAATCTTCAAAATCATACCTCTACCAATGAATTCGTACCCTTTTGAATCAAGAGTAGCCAACGAGATGAAATTTTTCTTCAAATTTGGAACATATCGAATGTCATCAAGTATTCTCAATGTCTCATCCAACAGTTAAGTCTGACTCTACCAATACCAGCTACTAGATAAGGTGCGTTGTTTTTCATGACTATGATACCTTTCGAAATTGTTCCATATGTTGCAATCAAATCCCAATTGTGATATATGAAAAAGTACAAATTGAATCTAAATCCAATTCTCGTCGGGTTTAGATTTGCAGTCAGAAATAGCCAAAAAAATCCCTATCACTTAAATAGTTCTCTACGTCATTGGCTTCGCCTGAAGTAGCGATTGCCTACCCTTTTGATTTGAAGCAAACTTATGATGTGTCATTTCTTCTTACAATAAAAATAAACATGATTACTGAAATTAGATTTCGACCTGCCCCTTTTATGACCACCGTGAACAACAAGACTTTCTCCATCTCTTGTCTCGGATCCAACCAGATATTTAATCTTCTTATTTGAAAACAAAGTATCATACACATCTTCAATGGAGAAAGTATCACAACTGTACAAAATCGAGTCTCTAAATGAAGTGGGCAATGAACACATAAGAATTAAGATCAAATCTTCTTCATCATACTTTACCTCCAAAATCTCAAAATTAGCGACAATTTCTTTAAAAATAGTCAAATGATATTCCAAAGATCTGCCTGATGTCATGCGATGAGAATACAACATCTGTTTCAGATTCAATTTGCAAGTTAGACTCTTAGTCATGCGCAGTTGCTCTAACTTCAACCACAACGCAGATGTCGTTTTCTCCTTCAAATCATTTTGAAGAATATTATTCAAACGATGAATATGAATTTGTGAAAGTATCTTCTGATCCTTTTGATGTTTCTCATCCGTCGTCGAATTCGTGAGCATTTTGTCAAAACCAAACAAGGCATTATCCAAATCCATCTGAAAGAGTATTGTTCGTATCTTCACCTGTCACAATAAGAATTTAGTGCTACGATCCAAAAGCTGATTGCCATACTTCATAGTTGCCGTCAAATATAAAATTAAAAAACCTCGAACAAATCTAACCAAAGCTATGATACTACTTATTAGGATCCAAATGAGGTATATGACATGATATAAAATATTGATCACAACAATAAGAACACAAGAAACAAGAATTTTATTTGGCAGAAGAATTTGAGATTTTATTTAAGTATAATGGAAAGAGAAATCAAACAATATTGTGTTCCTACACAATTCTGATTTGCAGTAATAAATTAACTTGTAAAGAAGAATCTATTATTTATAGGAGTACATGTCAAACCCTAATAGCCCTAAAAAATGGAAACTAGGTAAAAAATGAGTGGAATAACAAATCAAAGAAAATCCCGAACAGCTGCGGTGCTTGAGCGCTAGGCTTGCTCTAGGGGAGCGCTAGGCATGGTGCTTGAGCCTTACTCGAGCACCAAGCAAGCGATAGCATTCTACTAAAAATTCCACTCTATCGCTTGAGCGATAGGCGGGTGTGAAGCTAGCGCTGTCAAATTATATTTTCCTCCTTGGCCATATTTTGACATCTTCAAAACCCAATACACAATATACGGAACCCTAGTTAGAATTTGGATCCCAAATCCAACATTATTTGACTGGTATATGAAGGGGAAAAAAATTAAATGAAGAACACTTTCTTATGGTATTTTAGACGAAGGCAGCATGATATTCGTGCCTAAAAATTAAATTTTTAGATGGAAGACAATTTTAAAATTTAAAAAATTTAAATTACGTTTCACTTAGGAACGCCTCTAGAGTATACATGCGCACAATTTTCTTAACTTAGTGATGATGAGACTCGAATTTAGTGCATTCCTATTTGTTTTGATAGTATATTCAACTAACTCACCTAAAAGCCAATGTGTGTTATTTATACATTTTCAGTCACAATATGATAATTTTGTTCTTCAAAATGAGAGATTACCCGTAAAATAAGTGAATTAATTATTTTCAAATATATGATTGATTGAATGTGAAAACAGAGCCAGCTTAAAAGCTAGAATATATATCTTCAAACATAAAGTTGCCTTCTTCTTACAAAAGATTTGGAGTATATTCCTTTTTTATGAATCATTTTTCAGTATTGAGGATGATCCCACCCCACAATTTGTTATATATACCTCTTGCACGATGCAATTCAAGATCCATAAAGACTCGGGACGGTTTTATGGCTTCAATTTCTTTATGACATGAATCGGGAAAGTCTAAATAATGTGTTAGTTAATCCGCGAGTAAATTTTTTTTTTTTGGGAGGAGTTTAGGGACTAGGGAGAGTAATTGATACGGCGTTTTAGGTTTCAGCTATTTAAGGATCACGAATTCGAAGACCAAGTTTAGAAGAGCACAAACAATAAAATATTTCCTTAAACTCCTCGAACAGTTACTAGTACCCACAAAACCTCCTGAATTTATGTTTTTCGACCTTTTTTTTTTTTTCAGTTTCCCCACCCATCTCATAGTCTCATTTTGCGTTCATTATAACATTTTTGTTAGTTTCTTTTTTACTTTGATACTGTTTAATTTCATCCTATGCACCCTCTCATTTTATGATAAAAGAAAAACAATCAGATTAGATCAATACTCAATAACACAAACAATAGACAAGATTTTATTTACAAGAAATAATTTGGTTGGGGTGGGGGGGAGTTTTTGTCTTTCTCACAATAAGTTTTTAATAAATTATTCATATTTTTAATGCTAATTTACCATAGCTTGATTTTTAAATTTAACAGGATGGAAAAAGTGAAGCTGAGGACCAGCCCAGGAATTATGAAAATTTCAGGAGTAACACTGTGTTTGGCAGGAGCTGTCACCATTGCCTTGTACAGGGGCCCTTTTTTGAAACTTTTGTTACATCATCACCTAATTAAAAGCCACCACCAACAACTTGAAGTCCATGCTACTCCTTCTACCCTAACATGGATAAAGGGCGTCTCACTGATGCTGCTTTCCAACATAAGTTGGGCGCTGTGGCTTGTATTACAGGTACGTCTTCGACTAAAGTTGAAGGGTTTAATATGTTTGGCACGTTGGAGTAGACTCAAGTATGCACCTCACAACTAATAGTTTTATTTTTAATTATATCTATTCGAGTGTACTAGACATTCCTTCACAATCTAGTGAGGGTCCAATTCATGAATTTTGAACTATTTCTACTTTCTTTCCCTTCTCTGTTATCTTACCAAGTTAAAAGGTTTTCCTTCATATTCTAGGGAGTGTCCAACTAATCATTTTATCATAGTTTATGATTCAAGAAACTAGGTAAACATTGCTTTTTGTCATAAATGTCACCTTAAACATATCATTAATTCTCCTTGTACAAATTTGATGAAAAATTTAATTAATTTATAGCAACTGATAAATCATTTTATTCCAATAGTTCTTGTCTGGAAGCACCTGACTAACCCTAAAACCGTTCTGTTAACTGGTTTTCAGAATGTACCGAAAAAACTCGCAAAATTTATATGCTTTAAATATGTTTAATTTCTCTTTTGAGCTCATTTTTTATGTTGTTTTTGATCATGGAACTGCAGGGCCATGTACTGAAAAGTTACCCTTCAAAGTTCCTCCTAACAACCCTACAATGCTTTTCGAGCACCATACAATCATTCTTTGTTGCTGTTGCTTTTGTAAGAGATCCGAATGAATGGAAACTTGGATTGGATGTAAAACTCATATCAATTGCCTACTGTGTAAGTAAAATATATCCTGACTATGTATTTCATTTTCGTGATTTACTTAAAATGAAAGCAAATAATAAATTTGGAGAATTTGTGTGGGAATTGGACGGATTGGTGCCAACCTAGGTTGCTGAGATGTACCACTCAGTTATTAATGACTAATTCCATATTTGGAAAAAAATATTAACTTCGTTTTTAATGGATACGTTTTTTAAGTTGAATCTGCAGAATTATTTGATCTAAAAGTTTAAGTTGTTAGATGGAAGATAAACTTATTTATTCAAATTGTGTTTTCAACACACCCCTCATATTAGATTGTATTATTTTTTATCAAAAAACTTGATGCATGCAAAATTATTATGCGCATTCAGTTGGAACTTTTAAAGACTTTTTGAGTATTAAAAAAGTTTGAAGTATATTCAATTGAAACTTTTGATAACTTTTTAAAAGTTTAGGTTTTGTATTCATTGAAAACTTTTAAAAAGTCTTTAAAAGTCATAGCGTATTTAATTAAAACTTTTTAAAAATCTTTATAAGTAATGAGATATTCAAATTGAGAATGACTTTTAGAGATTTCTATATTTACTCCAGCACTCCGCTTCTTATTTGGAGAATACATGATTGACCAATGTATCAACCACCCTATTGCCTTCTATGTGTATGTGCAAAGTTCAGATACTCATTTGGGACGTGTAGGGGCGTGTTCAATCGAGATTTTTAAAGGCTTCTATAAGCTTTTTTAAATGGGTGACTTCTATGGATTTTATGGACTTTTAAGTGATTTCTATGGATTTGTTAAGAAATTAATAAAAGTCTTCCATGAATTTCTAGAGACTACGATTAAAGATTTTTAAAAACTTTTTATCTTACAAATTCATTATATACTTGGAAAATTATAATATTTCTCACTACGTAATTAACATTTTTGAGAACCATGATGCCCGCAAATTTTCTTGGGTAAAGTCAGTAGTTACGGCCTAGTCATTCAATTGCTGCAAAATAAAATAATAAAAAAAATTTACATCAATTTCTAAGAACGTAACCAAATATTTTTTTTCGAAATTAAAATAATTCTAAATTGATTTCAACAAATGAATTGAAGAGATATTCTTGACAGGGAGTAGTGGTGACTGGTATTACATTTTATTTGCAAACGTGGGTCATTGAGAAGAAGGGTCCTGTCTACCTCGCCATGTCAACTCCATTGATTCTGGTATTCACAACTGCTGCATCAACATTCCTCTTCGGGGAGATAATTAGTCTTGGAAGGTAAAAAGCTTACTTAAAAGAGATGTTTAACCATACTTAATAGCATTTTTTAGCTGAATTTATTCGAAAAATGGCTAAAAAGTTAAGCAAGATGAAATATGTTTTATAACAATAAACTAGTCTCTATATATGATTATAATTTTTTGTTTGCATTTTAGTGTCTTGGGAGTACTTATTCTAGTTGGAGGACTTTATTGTGTGCTATGGGGAAAGACTAAAGAGGAAGAAAGGGAGAAAGGAATATGTGCAGCAGTAGTTGATGCCGAGAAAGCCAATGGAGGATTAAAGGAAGAGACCACAACATAAATATACAATATACATATTCATGTGAGTGGGGGAGGGTAGTTTAAAATTCTTGTTTTGTCTCCACATTCATGGGATATGCTTCTCAAATGGGCATGCGATTCATAGTACGTGTAGGATCCACCTTTTTTTTTTTCCCCTAATGTAAAGTTGAGTTCTATGCTGAATTGGCGAAATTAATATATATCGATTATGTGTTTGTTTGTGAGAGACTAAAATGATTTCTTTTTGAAAAATGTATAGTTAAAACTTAAAAGTAGGAAAAAGATTGAGTCTACTCGTAAAATTATTTTATTGGTATAATGTCGAAAAAAAGAAAAAAATTTAAATAAATAAATTATCTTCCCTCTTAAAGCCTTAATAGATAATAAGCAAGAGGAAAGAAAGGATCTACAATCTCCATGTGCATCTGTTTACAATCTGCATCTATAATCTAACAATATATAAAAAACATCGATGGTTTTATAAATATTTGATGGACAATTTTATCTTCATATATTTTGTCTTTTGTTAATAATACCCTTAATTTTAAATTAAAAAATATTAACAAAAAGTACAGACTGAAGGAACAAATTGAAAAGACTCATTGAAGTTACTTCAATGGACCAAAGAACTCAACTCAGATCACAAATCTCTCCTCTCAATGGACCACGAAACTCCTTTATGGATTTACTCGGAAAACTCATAGAAAATGTCCAACTTATGTTGAAGACGAAGTAGAGAAGACGAGCAGAAGAGAAAACCTTAGCACTATTTGGAATATCAGACGTTTGGAATGAAAAAGAAAACCCTAAAGGGTTATATTTATACGCCCAACCATTACCATAGATCTTTAATTGAGACCAACGATCCAGAGCAACTAACAACTCATTCCAAATATAATGAACCTCGTTTCCTAAATATAGAAGGACTCCTGTAATACAAAACCTCATTCCAAATAGAACGATTTCTTCTACAATTCAGCTTCGTTTCCTAAATATTACAGGACTCCTGCAACACAAAACCTCATCTCAAATTGAACGATTTCTTCTACAATTCACAATTCACGACGAAGTAGGTAATGTCATCCATTGATTTCAGTAATTGCCCAGCGATTTCTGCCTGAATGATTTCATTCAACCTGAAAATTCTCGACGGAGAAGACAATCTAGGTAAGAATCTAATTATTTTCTTCACCGTCTCTAATATTATGATCAGAAATTAATTCTGTAATTAGATTACAAAGTCACAATTTCAGAAAAAATTCAATC